TTAAGAAATGAAGTAAAACTCTATGCCTGTGGAAATAGAACTTTTACAGTTTGGGCATCTTCAGGTTAAAAAAGGATAAAAATAGAAAATACAAATCTCAGAATTCTCACCTTTAGTGTGCTTATAGGATTTGTGTACTTAAAGTTTATTTGGTGTAATCTAATTATATTAATTATGACTTACATTAAAATCTTAGTATAGATTGATTAATATCGTCATCTAGAAAATTAGCTCAAATAACTTGATCCACATGTAGTTCCCTATAGGTTTCTTAAAAAACTTATTAAGTTAAATGAGTTTCTTCTCTTAAAATCATGTACTACATTAAGATACATAATACTACCAGGAGAGGTAGCAAAAATTCCAGAGATCCTTTCCTGTAAACACAAGGTTGAGAGGAAAGTAAACAAGCACAAAAGAACATTTTGCCAGAGAGCAAACCTAAACAAGTCATTTGATAGATTTTTAACTTCTTTGAAGGTATGTCTGTATAGAACTAATTTCCATAGTCATCCTAATCCAAACCATATTATAATCAAAAACTGGAATTAATCCCCATTGTGTAGTTAGGGAAATTAAAGAAAAGAAACAAAGGACTTGCTTTGGACCGAAGAAGGATGCTGCTAAAATGAGAACTGAAGCTTGTAACAGGCTCCACACAAACTTCCCTGGTGGGCTTCCCTGAAGGCTCAGATGGTAAAGAATCTGCCTGCAGTGTGGGAGACCTGGGTTTGATCCCTGGGTTGGGAAGATCCCCTGGATCTTGGCAACCCACACCAGTATTCTTGCCATGGAGAATCCCCATGGACAGAGGAGCCTGGTGGGCTACAGTCCATGGGGTGGCAAAGAATCTGACCCGACTGAGCGACTAAAATCAACACACTGACTGAAGACTAAGTTGTTAATTAATTATTAAACTAGACACTAGTCTCTTGTCAACTGCTAAATGGCTGATACTTATTATTATGAATTCTTCATTCTTTTACCCATTAATTTATGTTATTTAACTTTATGATATAATTGTCTATTATGTTATGACTGTAGAATAGATATAATCAATAGCATGAATTTTCGCGATAAAAGGTTTTAGCAAACCACTTACAGAATACTACTGCTGTGTATGTATTAATTAATGGTAAAAACTGAGCAACATTTTACAAACTGAATATTTGTATTTATCTTGTACCTTAAGTATACATTTTAAAAGGAAAACAAGAGACTTTATGTGATTTCTTTCCCCGTGCTGTATTTTGTGAGCATCTAGAAAACATGTGAAAAAACATTATTTAAAATTTTAGAACCTACATCTTTCAGTGTTTTTGTGGCCTTCACAATTTCATGCCCTAAAAAATGCACAAAGTGGGATTTTTTCCTCTACTAATTATAAGACTGTTCAAGGAGATATGAAAAAACATATATATATACTTGCAGCTAATTGAATTTTTAAAAAATCTCTAGTGTTATTTTGTATTTTATGTAGTAAAAACAGTTTGATAAAGTATATTAGCATATTCTTTAATGTCTTCAGATATATAGTCCTACACCTCCACTTGATTTTTCCCCACATTTTTTTATGTGTATTTGGACAGCAAATCCTTTTCTCTCAGTAAGTGATCTTGGGCAAGTCAACCTTCTTAGATTCTAGTTGCCTCATATGAAAAAATGAAGTGCTTAGACCACATAAATTTTAAAGTCTCTTTGAGCTTTAAGTGTAGCTCTGTGATTATATAAGATAAATGTAAAATCAAATTTTATTCTTATTTGAAATCAGTAACGCTAAGTTTCTGACTTAAAAAATATGCAAATTTTAATATTTGGAATTTTTAAGTGTTCAGTCAGTTCAGTCGCTCTGCCGTGTCTGACTCTTTGTGACCCCATGGACTGCAGTACACCAGACTTCCCTGTCCATCACGAACTCCCGGAGCTTACTCAAGCTCATGTCCATTGAGTCGGTGATGTCATCCACCCAACTCATCCTCTTTCATCCCCTTCTCCTGCCGCCTTCAATCAGTCCCAGTATCAGGGTCTTTTCAAATGAGTCAGTTATTCGCATCAGGTAGCCAAAGTATTGGAGTTTCAGTTTCAACATCAGTCCTTCCAGACCACAGAGGGGATAAACAATAATTGCTGATTAATACTACATTACTCAGTTACTCTCATAGGATAACAGGTGAGGCATAAATATTTTTACATGTAGCTACTTGTAATAACATTTGTAATACCAAAAATATAAAACCAGAGGATATTTGGTTCACTGTTATGATTTTTATATAGATGAAGATTTAACACAATTGATATACCATTATACAAACTGGTTGGTCTTCAAGATCAATTAGGTAAATCACAAGCTGGCACCTTGAACATTCTCCCTCTCACACGTACATAATTAGCGGCCCTGCTTCCAGAGTTGGTGCTGTATTATCGGCTCAGCCAACTACCTCTGCTACATCATTTTAGACAGATGGTTTTTTTCTCTTCATAATACTTTTCAATTGCCCAAAACTCATTATCTTTTTTAATGCACTACTTTAACATTTATTCGATTTAGGATCAGAATGTTTGGCCCTATATAGTCAACCAAATTTTAACTTCCTCTTGCCTAATTTTTTATGGACAAATGATAATTCCTTTGCACTTTTCTTAAAAAGTCCTTATGTTGTTACAACTACTGAAACATTCTCTGAATGCCAACTACCAAGGACGAAAAGATGAATTTGACTTTCTTTACTCTCCAGTATCTCCAGTTCCTTCTTGAAATATAGTAACCAAAATGGGACACAGAATTCAATAATTTAATTAATGTATTCATTCATTCAATAAAGCTTTGTTAAATATCCACTACATTCTGGGCACTATTCTAGACATTCAGCAATTTCAATTAGAACATTCTGTGATGACAGAAATGTTCTGTGTCTACTCTGTCAATTATCATAGCCACTAGACACATGTGGCTATGGAATCCTAGAAGGGGTCTCAGGAACAGAATTTTCAATTTTAATTAATTTAAATTTGAATAGCCACATGTGGCTCTTAAGGCTTTTGTATACTAAAGAGAGTAGACAATAAAAGTAATAAAATATAATTTGAAGAATAAGTTATTCCTGTTCAGTGGCTAAGTCATGTCTGACTCTTTGCAACTCCGTGGGCTGTAGCATGCCATGCTTCCCTGTCCTTCTCTATCTCCTGGATTTTGCTCAAGTTCATGTCCACTGAATCAGTGATGTTATCTAACCCATCTCATCTTCTGCCATGGATAATTTAAATGAGTGGTAAAGGGGACTAAAACAGGAAGATGTAATCTCTGTACATGCTGGAGTAGGAGGAGGGGAGGGCCGCAGGGGTAGTGAGGTACAGACCCTTCATAGTAAGAGTGGTCAGGGAAAGATGGCCCCCTCTTTGCCTGACACTTGACCTGAGACCAAATGAGGAGAAGACTACAATAGAAGGAATTAGAAGAGTATTTCTGGGAGGACCAGCAAATCCAAGTACCCTGAGCAGAGAACAAGTTTAGTGTATTGAGGAACAGAAAGAAAGCCAGTGTGTCTGGAGCATTCTGTACCGGAAAGAGAATAAGGCTGGAGAGGGAGGCAGGGGCGAGGTCACAAAAGTCACTGTTGACCTTGGGGAAGAGGAAACCATTACAGTCTTTTGAGGAAAAGAGTAACATGATACCATAGTATGTTTTAAAAGAGTTCTCTGATAGCTCCCTGGAGAATAGGTCAATTATAGATAGAAGAAAGTGAGGCAGGGGGACCAGATAACAAGCTATTCCATTTGCCAGTTTGGTCTAGAGTGATAGCAGTACAAATGGTGAAAGTGAAAGAATTCTGGATATATGGAATTAATATAATAAATTGATTACTTTTAAAACATCACATGTCATAAACCCTTTACATTTTAATATAAAGTTGAATTTTTATTTAACAGTCTAACATTGCTGACAGTTACTCAACTCTGATAATGTTCACTATTGTTATTCACCATATAAGCAAAGGACTCTCATAACATCAGCATGCTGCTTAGTCACTCACTTGTGTCCGACTCTTTGTGACCCCATGAACAGTAGCCCACCAGGCTCCTCTGTCCATGGGATTCTCCAGGTAAGAATACTGGAGTGGGTTGCTATTTCCTTCTCCAAGCGTCAACATGGTTCATCAAATTTTGATAACTCAGAAAAAATGCGCTAATAAAAGCCTTGCATAGTGCTTGGTTTTTTTAAAAACGGCTTTCATTTTTACCATATTCTGCAAATAAGATTTATCATGTTAGAGTTATGAGCTGATTATGTGATGTCTGCATCTCGATAAATTATTCCTGGCTTTCTACTTATGTACAGTATGTGTGGTTTATTGCAGTAAAGCTGAGAATTCCAGTTCACATGTTCATGTAAGGGCTATACACATGGCTAGTCAGTGTATATAAGGGGTTTTTTTGTATCCTGTCCCTAGTGTCTTGGCATTACTTTTATTATGTCTGCAGTACTCATGTAGATGAAATGCCACAACACATTCTTTTACTATTGTAGCCTCAATCGGCTTTTTTTTTTTTTTTTTTAAGAGAAAGCAATTGCCATCATAAAAATTCCTTACTGGGGAACTTTCCATATTGCGTTATCATTCCATGAGTCTAATAATAGTGGAATATAAAGAAAAAAATGTTATAATACTAAAATATCTAAAAAAGACTTTTGAGGTCTCTATAATGAGAAAACACCAAAAGTCTGGAGGAGGAGAAAGAAGAAAAAAAGAAGTAAAGTCGAGTTTTTTAGATGCCTGGTATTTGTTAGAGATTTATAAATCATTGCTTAGCTAAAGATAATTTGCAAATCACATGCACCTTTACTAATGTCTAAACACAGTTAAAGAACTCTCAGTCTGTTATCTATTGGGAGAATGCTAATGCCTATAATTGGTCAGTGCCTGACCCTTATGTATTTATTTCTATCCTGGTAGCCCTGTCTGCCTAAAAGCTAATTCTGTGTTTTCTGTGAAATCTTGCAGTGGTGTTATCAGGGAGATTGTGTTCCTTTTGGCACTTGGCCCCAGAGCATAGATGGGGGCTGGGGTCCCTGGTCACTATGGGGAGAGTGCAGCAGGACCTGCGGGGGAGGCGTCTCCTCATCCCTAAGACACTGTGACAGTCCAGCGTAAGTAGCTAAAGTAAGCCGGAGCCAACAAAAAGACACAGTTGGAAATGATTCAAAGCTGTGGTTTCACATGTTATCTGTAAAAACGTTTCGCCAGTGAGCCAAGTGCTTGTCTTCAGAACAAGCAATAGGCACAGGAAAGTGCAGGAGCCTTGTTAGACAGACTTTCTTTTTCTTCTTTTCACCTTACTGTGTAACTAAAAAAAAGAAAAGCATTGTGTATCTATCCCAGGTATAGCCAGACTTTTAATCTAGTAATAATCAGATAGATTTCCTCCTCCAAAAACTACTGAATTATGGATGAAACCAGGTCTGGTCTTAGCTACATTACCATTATTCCCAGGAAACCTAAGGTCTTTTCACATGTCACATAAAATTATTACTGCTACATTAGTATTAAAAAGACCAATGAGAACACTTCAAGGGTTGAAATGCCTTGATTCGCATCACAAATCACAATGAAAAGAATACTGCCCATGTGTTAAAATAGTTTCCATTCACATGCCCCCATTAATCATCTTCCGGAACTGCCACCACTTTTCTCCTCATGACTGTTTTATGCAGGTCAGACTGCTCCTCTCCCACCACTCTTTCTCTAGCCAGAGTCCCCCTGGCATAAAGCCAGCCCATCCGTATTCCTTGCTAAGCTGTATTGCTTCTCCCTCCCACCAGTGCCCATTACAGGTGGATGATTTCTCTAGTTGGCCTTTTGTGTCCTACCAGAGACTAAACTGCTCCTTAGCTGCTTCATGTCAAGTGCTCCCATTTTTGTCTAGAACTCAGGTTAAGGACCTTCTTGCTGACAATTATTTGGTGCAGAATGATGTTATGATATCACCTCTGCTTTTTCCCCCTGCTGGGGTAAAAGATGGTCTATTTTTATTTTTTCCCATTTTAACTTAGTATCCCTGTCTTTGGTTCCTCCCTCTAAATGTGTCTTCTCTTTTCTTCTTTTTTAGTTTGAAATCATTTCCCTTCGTATTACTTCTGTTTTTTCATTCTGTTAAACAGAGCTCACTGTCACCTACTCATAAAACAACAATGCCACCACTATTCCCACTACCTTGTTTTTGTCTGACCAACCCATTTCTCCCATCCTGGCTCAAACTGGGCCATTTTTTTCCCCTTGTTTAAAGTCAGCATTCACTGTCATTCAAAATATATTCAAAGTGTAACTTTAATTATCTCATTTGTAATTAATATCAATGAGATAATTGATAATGTAATAAATTGATAATAGTTATCAGTGAACCAAAATTATAATTGAGACTTGATCTTTTTAAAACAAGTACAGAATAATGAAGTTCAGCTCCAAGCTACTGTAATTTAATAACCAAAAGTATAAAACCCTATAGTAGTAAACAATATACCGAAATACTTAAGAGAATGACTTGGACCACTTTTGAAACAAGAAGTTAGTTTTTTCCATTCAAATATTACATGCCAAAATAATAGCATATGACTTTCTCTAATGTTAAATACTCCAGAAATTAATTTAATTAATTTATTAATTAATTAAACAAGTATTTAACACCCTAATTGAGTGTACTATAAAGTATCTATATAATACAAGCCTATCTGATGTTTAGATTTAATTCTTTTAAACTTTATATAATATTTGAAATGAGATAGAGATTTATTTCTGCATTATATACTCTGAACTGAAGCTATTTCCAGAGAGTTATTTAGTGTCTTCTCCTTATTTCTAGTCTATAAAAACAAACTTTCCACTTCCTACTTTATAAACATATAGTATCAGATTATGTGTTTTGTTGAATATGATTCAAATGGCTTTTCATTATAAATGATTTTTAAACTCATTATGTTGAACTGAATACCTGTTTACTATATTAATTAGAAAGTACATTGATTTAATCACATTTTCTTAAGAATGTATATATCATCACAATTAAAAGCCTAATAAAATTACTTATAAAATTACTCATAGTAAATTGTCTTAATTTTTGTTTAACAATCATAATCATTATTGCTATCACAATGATTATTATTTTAATAACTAATAAAATGTCAAATTTTTTATTTTCTTAAATGTCAATATGTTTTCATCAAGCAATTTATGTAATCTTTATGTGGTTAGATATATTACATTCACATGTTAAACAAAATGTGTTTTCAGACCTTCAGGAGGTGGAAAATATTGCCTTGGGGAAAGGAAACGGTATCGCTCCTGCAACACAGATGTAAGTAAAGCCAAATTTTGGTATGAAAAGTTAGCTTACATTTCCCCTAGAGCAGGGAAACTTTTTAAACTGAGAACTAGTTTGATCAGAAATCCATGTGTGTGAGGGTCACATGAATTTTTGAAATTGGATGGAACCAGCCTTTTAGATCCATTAATTCCATCGACGAGAGTCAAGAGGAAGCTCCAGCACTAGGAGCAAATATGCTGTCCTGAAAAGGAATCAAGAGAGACACACACCCCCTGAACTTCTAGCCCCTCATTACTCATGACCTTGCCACCATTATCTTTCTTGAGTTCAAGAAATAAGGATTAATCTTAGTATGGCCTTTATTCCATTTTACGTTTGCCACTTCAAGAAGTCCCAGACTTCCACATCATTCCTTGTCTCTTTCCATTCAATTCCATAAATCTTTGCATACCCCTGCTGTTACCTATACCTTCCCAACCACTGAAACTCCTCTGTGCCCCCAGAAACTCGTGATTCATCATCAGCAAAATCCCTTATATCTTGAAGTCTCTGAATTTTCTTTCGTTTTACCTTGTTCTAATGGAAACTGGCTTTCCTCTCAAGATACTGCTTCCTTTGCAGGCCTCTAAAATTAAGGACTTGTGTTTTCTCCCCTAGCCCATGATTGATTGGGCCTGGAAGTGAATTGACTATCTTTTTTATATCTTATTAGTGTGTGTTAATTGCTCAGTCATGTCCGACTCTCTGCGACCCCATGGACTGTAGCCCACCAGGCTCCTCTGTCCATGGGATTCTCCAGGCAAGAATATTGGAGTGGGTTTCCATTTCCTGCTCCAGGGGATCTTCCCCACCCAGGGATCAAACCTGCATTGAAGGCGAATTCTTTCCCACTGTGCTACCAGGGAGGCTCATACCCAGTCATTATATCTTATTACTCCTTCCAAATAGTTTTTCCTTTCTCCTATCTAAAAATCACAGCTTTTAATTTGTTATCGTATCATGAGACTATTACCCACACTCCTACACTATTCCTCATTCATATGCTCTTCTGTGTTTCCTGTGTCTCCTGCATTTCAGGTGGATTTTTTTACCGCTGAACCGTCAGGGAAGTTGTCCCCTATCTTTCCCTGGGTTATTCTAAATAGCTTTTTCAGTGAATTTCCTGATATTACTATTGCTCCCTACAGTGCTCAATATAAGAGGCAGAGTTTCGGTGTATTTTACCCAACACCTTTCAATGGCTCTCTGTTTTACTGAAATCCAAACTCATACAGAGGTCTGCAAGACCTGCACAATCTGGGCTTCTGTTACTTCTCTGAACTCATCTTTTACTGTTTTCCTCCTTATTCACCCTGCTGCAGGCACACGGTCTCCCTCCTTGTACATGCCAGGCATGCTCCCACCTTAGGACTTTTGCACTAGCTGTTCTCTTTGCCTTATATACTCTTCCAACCCAGATATCTACACCACTGACTCCCTTACCTCACCTTTACTCAACTGATCATCTTCTCAGTGAGGCCTAATCCAAATCCTCAATTTAAAATTGCAACCCTCCCTTCTCCCTACAACTCTGGGATTCCTAATCTTCCTTACCCTACTCTATTTTTCCTCATATTATTGCTAACACACTCGTATTTATAGCTTATGATATTTAGTTCTATTAAACTTATTTTTAATAATACATGTAGCTTCAATTTAATAATTAGATGTAGCTTCAATTACAATGATTATATTAAATTTCCAGCATTAATTAACAAGTAATTGAGTGCCTACTTTTATCAGACTATGCTAGAGTGAGAGAGTCTATGCCTTCAGGGATTTTATAATTTCTTAGGAAGTCACAGAAAATCACAAGGCAGGGTGACAAGTGATATGATAAAATAAGTATGGAATGCTATAAAAACATGTGGAATTGGCACATAGCCTAATTAGGGAGTTAAGGATTTCTTCTCTTAGGAAGCTAAAGACCTGAAGGGCAAATTGGAAAAGAAAAGAAGTAAGACACATTGAGAGCTTTCTAGGCACAAATAAAATTAAGTGCAAAGTGTGTAGGTTAAAATTTAGTCTCATATTTATGCTTTAGATGAAAATGGGTTAGAGAAAGGTGAGACTACAACAGAACAGCAAACAAGTCAAGAAGAATTTCAGGACACTGGTGAGTCATGCACTGCACACTAGGGCGTGACAAGGAGTCTATAAAGAGGGCTAGCAGGGAGAAAGTTAGATCTCTAACTTTGAAAAACCCATAAAAATGAAAGAACCAGGGTTGCAGGATAAACAGGGTGAAAGAGATAACAAGTCACAGGATACAAGAGTGGAATGTATTAACATTTGAATTTAAGATGTGAGAAGTGATACTGTTCTCATTGAGGTCAGATCTAGAGTGTGGTCATGGGAGTGCTCGCCCAATGTTGAATGGAGGTCAAAGAGTTCAAGGATTGTTAAGGGTAGGGAGTTTGGGGAGTCTTCCATGTGGGTGACGTTAGGACTTGGAGCATATAGTGAAACTGTGAAGTAGGTAGGAAGCTCTTTAACCAATGATGGGAAGTGGTCATCATGAGGTTAGTAAAAAGCAATGATGAAACCAAATAGTGATTTGGATGAATAACATAAATCTTGGAAAATAGAGGTTTTATGCATGAGAAGAAGGGAGTCCTACTGTATATTAGACTGTGTTACCTAGGAGTGTGAAAGCCCAACCCACCTCTCAATCCCCATCTATTTCTATTATATAGTTGTAGAGGTGGGCCCACATTTTGGGCCTAATAACACAAGTGCTATATAATATGAATAATGTATGGTAGGTAATAAAAAAACAGATAAAGATGCACCAGACACACATGCCAAGCTTGTTTCATTTTTACCCATATTTTATATGCTCAGAGTTTTTATAAAGCTTGCTGTTGGTCACTTGACATTTCTATTAGTATCTTTGTCTTCTGTTTCAGCTTTCATCAAATGTTAAGGAGATATATTTAAGATATATATATATAATGGATATGCAAATAATGTTTTTTCTTTAATCTTGTCTCTGCTAGTTCAGAATTTGAGACAATTACCACACCAAAATTTATTTTCATGCTATCCAAGTTAATAAAGCTATCTGAGCATAAATTGTGCAAGTTGGAGCCTTTTAAAATTTAATCTAATTGAAAATTTAAACTTTCTAGACACATAATCTAGCCCAGCACTGTCCAAGAGAATGGTCCTCAATGATGGAAACATTCTATATATGCACCGTCTAGTGCATAGTCAAATTAGCTGTTGAGCACTTGAAATTCATCTAGTGCAACAGAAGAACAGAATCTTTAATTAATTTAATGTGGCGAGTGACAGCTGTATTAAACAGCACAAAGCTAGTCTGGCTTTGCAGTAGAAAACTAATTATTATAAAGAAGATTGTATTTGTTATTCCCAAATTCCTAATTTAACCTTCTCCCTTCTTCTTTTGCTAACCTTAAGTTTTTTTTTTCTATGTCTGTTGAGTCTATTTTTGGTTGAAGGACCTACTGTATAGCACAGAAGACTATATTCAATATCTTGTAATAACCAATAATGAAAAAGAATCTGAAGAATATATATATAGATAGATACAACTGAATCACTTTGCTGTACACCTGAAGCATTGTAAATATAAACTTTAAAAAAAACAATAAAAAAGACTATAAATAGTATGTATAAAATTCTTAAATCAAATCAGTCTTAGTTCATTTTAGAAACAAATGTGAAACCTGTTTTTGGTAATGACATTACTCTGACAAAAAAATTTTTTTAGATTGCTGAATAAGATTTTTTTTCAACATTTTAAAATCAGCAAAGAGCTGACCAGATAGTAAGGAAAATATCCTAAGATCGTATTTTTTTAAAGGAAACTGAAAAGCATCAAAAAGGGAGCAACGGAACAACTAAGGTACTTTTCCCTGACAATATTCAGAGGAAGAGAAGAGATAAAGTACTCCCGTGTGTCTTTCTTAAGTATATGAAAAGTTTTTACCAAAGCTTCTTCCCTGCTCCCTCAGCAGACCTCCTTCATGTTTTGTTGGTCAAGATGCCACATGTCCACCCTTAACCCAATCACAAGCAAAAGGAACGATATTACCATAACTGGTTTCAGCTAATACAGATAAGTCCTTAAAATGGGGTTAGGATCATCTTCTCTGAGAAGTAGATTCCTGAGCAAAAATTAGAATTCTGTTTAGAAAAGTCAGAGGAACCAGAGATCAAATTGGGAACATTTGCAGGATCATAGAGAAAGGAAGGGAATTCCAGAAAAACATCCACTTTTTCTTCATTGACTACACTAAAGCCTTTGACTGTGTGGACCATAACTGTGAAAACTCTTTAAGAGATGGTAATATGAGACCATCTTACCTGTCTCCTGAGAAACCTGTATGAGGATCAAGAACAGCTGGAAGCAAACGTGGAGCAGCTGACTGGTCCAGAATGGAGAAAGGAGTACAGCAAAGCAGCATGTTGTCACCCTGCCTGTTTAACTTCCGTGCAGAGCGCATTATGCAAACTGCCAGGCTGCATGAGTTACAGGCTGGAATCAAAATTGCCAGGAAAAATATCAGCAACCTCAGATATGCAGGTGATACCACTCTAATGGCAGGTGAAGAGGAACTAAAGAGCCTCTCGATGAGGGTAAAAGAGGAGAGTGAAAAAGCTGGCTTAAAACTCAGTGTTAAAAAAAACTAAGATCATGGCATCCAGTCCCATCACTTCATGGCAAATAGAAGGGAGAAAGGTGGAAGCAGTGACAGATTTCCTCTTCTTGGGCTCTAAAATCACTGTGGATGGTGACTGCAGCCATGAACTTAGAAGATGCTTGCTTCTTGGAAGGAAAACTCTGACAAACCTAAACAGTGTGTTAAAAAGCAAAGACATCACTTTGCCAACAAAAGTCCATATAGTCAATGCTATGGTCTTACCCTGGTGGCTCAGTGGTAAAGAATCCATCTGCCAAGCAGGAAACTCAGGTTTGATCCCTGATTCGGGAAGATCTCCTGGAGAAGGAAATGGCACTATAC